ACCAGGACTGTCCTAAAATCTGTCGTTCTGGAACCAAGACAACGTGGTCTGGCAGTTTGAGTCTCAACCTGCTGAATTTCTTGCCGAGAGCTTTGCCGAGAGACGTGTCATGTGGAAGAAGCAAGAGCCTGTACTCCCATCTCCGGGAGCGCAATTTACTGAACCACGTTTAATAGTATTTTTTGTCTTCAAAGTCTTGCAAAGACTTTTTTTCATAAAACACAGTTGCAATAGGAGAACATACCTGTAATATGTAATTACTTAACCCCCATTTGGAGGGTAAAAGGTTTTATTTTCAGAATGAGCATGCTGTGAAGTAAGGGCGGCCAGCAGCCCAGGTGCCCTCTGCCTCGGGCCTGCTAGTTGTTTGGTTTCAGCTAGAACCCCTACACGTCACGGGGCACACTGCTTTTCTTGTCCCGTAGTCTTTCTAAGTGCTTTTTGACTTGGGGATGAGAAGGGCTGCATTTGGGTTTGCTTCATCTGAGGTAGGTGTGATCCTTCTTGAGGGAAAATGGGGGTGCCTTGCTAAAAGCAGTGGGGTGCAGGGCTCCCCACACTGTTACAGTCCTGGAAGAAGTCTAGTGCTCCCCTCTTGTCCCCCTTCAGCGCAGCTGAGTGATTAAGGAGAAGAGTGGTGCAAAGACTGCCAAAACAGGGTGGGGTAATGATTACATGCATATGTACAGAGCTGAAAGGCCTTTAATTATCAGGAAGCTTAATTCAATAGATGCTTGCATTGCAGTGCGAGTCAGGGCAGAAGACAATTGATAACTTGGCATGATGTTTGATTTCATTCTCTCTGCTGCTTTGTGCTAATGGTGTGGATTTGCATAACCATTATAGATAATATATAGTTTTATGGAGGGGGAAAAATAGAAATGGAAAAATCATGACTCCTGATCATGGGTATGTTGCAATGAATCTTGATAGCACCTTGAGATAATTTATGCAGCCATCTCTTGTAAGATGCTGATTATTATGTTCCCTAATGTCTTTGAAATCATTCTTTCAGGAAGCAGAGGAAGATAATATTTGTAAGAGATTTGAACTAGGAAGGTGGCCACTTTTCCCTCCATAACATTCAAATGCTTACTGATCTCTGAAGTGTCACTCTTTATGTCTTTTTTTTTTTTTTGCCTGAATTTTATAATTTTTTCTTGTTAATAAAGGAAAAAAAAACACCCTCCTACTAGTTTTATCTCTTGACCTCCAACAATTTAGTAGTGATTACATGGTGTTAAACTGCTGCCTTCAGTAATGCTGTCTATGTATCTGTGAACAAATACCTGATAATAAGTTGTTTCCCTTCCTAGTTATTTTTTAACGCAAGTTTCACCATCAAAGTGTTCGCTTGCCCCTGCGCAAGGCCCCACCACCTCAGCAGGAGCAGGCCCTGAGCTCTCCTGTGGTTTCCTTAAAAAGCAACTGTTCATTTCAGAACCAGAATTGAGAAGGGTCAGCTTAACCACAGAAACTCAAGCTTAACTTAAATATTTTTATGATCCATAATTCTTGTGCCCAGCGTTGACAGTCCAAGTGCGGCACTGCCTTGGCCAGAGGTGCTGTAGACAGTCCTGGTTCTCATACTTTTATCACAAAAGACCATTGCTTCTGGCTGAGGCTCAGCAGTGTTTCTGAAATACTGATGTAAATTGCGGTTGTGCACTTGGAATGCACAAATGTGGGCTGTATGTGTACGTAAGCTCTACCTGTAATTTTCCTGGCAGCATGGGGCAAGCTTTTAATGCGTCTGTGCTTATGTTCCCCTTTTCCTTAAGCTGCCTCAGTGATACTCACCTGGGTTTTAAGGTATGATAAGGAGTATCTGTGGAACAGAGGTGCAAGGTGCTAGTTCTCAGAGTACAAAGATAAGGTAGGTTCATGCCCCTGGGCATGTTTTGGGTGCTTTGTGAGGGATACAGATGGTTTAAGCCACCCAAGCTCAGTAGTAGGGAGTGTCAGTACTGTTTTCAAATGTTTCTGTTAATAAAAGCAAACAAAAAATGCTTTTTCTTATTTTAAAAACAAACAGAAAGCCTTGTGGTTTACCAGGATTCCAGGCTCTGCAAATAGCATTTAGCATCACCAGGGCTTACAAGTTCAGCAGTTGCTCAGGCACCTGTGAACAAAGGTTTCTCACCTGCCCGGCAAAGCAGCCTGCCGTAAACTCCAGTGTTAAAAAGAAATGCAAATATTTATGCTGGAAGCAAAACCATGAAACAGCAGATCCCCTCCTTACAATCCTTTTGTACAAAAAAATGCGAGAAGGCTCATCTTCCCCAGCTTGCTGCACCTCTGATTGCTGGGGGAGCAGCGCTCGTTAACCCCAGCCGTGTCCCGCAGTGCCCTGGGGCAGCAAGGTGCGCCCCGATTTCTCGGCTTCAAGGTGCACCCCGATTTCTCGGCTTCCTTTCACTTGTGTGACAGATGCTTCCTCTGCACTGCTCAGGGAATTCCTCTCCCCCTCACTGCTCTTTCTGTGCATTACCAATGCTCTTTCTCTGGGCAGGAAGATGTTTTCAGTTATGCTTTAAAGCATTGCATTTAATACAAAAATACTGTATTTTGGCAGATATGGTTCTCGTGAAGCAAGATTCCACAGTGAGATCTGATGGCTAGTGGTGGTAGTTCCTTGGTGGGCTGTTGAGAGCTCGTAGAGGCATTGCCTGTTAAGATGGCCTTTCTATTTCCAGGGCATGTTAAAATGTTAAGATAAGTATTTCACTCAGCACTCTCTTTGACATATATCCCTTGTTGTTCTAGCAGTTGTTGACAAAGTGGTTAGAGGAACAGGAAGTATGAGTAGGTGTCCACAGGACTTTTCTTTTAAAACAGCAACTTTTATTTTTTCACTTACACTTTCACTTTATTAGTATTATGATTGCACACACACACACACCCCCCAATATGTGTGCTAGGGAAAAAATGGCTAATAGGTCTGTGTCGTGTCCCATCCCGTCCCGCCCCAAACATACACCTCCCAGCTCCCATTTTCAAGTTCTTCCTTTTGGGGTCTGCCTCTAAGGATCTGTAACAGTAATATTTTGAGCTTGTGTGGAGAGATGTTCCACTGATGTACTCTTACGCATTTTGGGTAACTTACCAGATCAATTACAGGAGGTCCTCCCAGCTGCTTCTAGGCTTTAATGCATTCTTTGGCTTTCGTTCAGCAGTTAATATGCTGAAGGATTAGGTAGAAGCTACTGTTATACAAAGCAGGACTCAAACGTTCTCGCCTCAATCTTATTGAGACATCAGAACTGTACAGAAGTTCAGATGAGGAACTGAAGAACCGTGTTGAAAACAAGTGCATTATGTTTGGAAAAAGAGCAGGTAGCTGACTTTTCCATCAGTTGCAGTCGCAACAGAAAAGATGATGATGGACTAAAAGGATTTCTTTGAGGGAGGCTGGTGATACATATTATGATGGACAGGACTAAATGCTACATGCTAAATGCTTCAAAGTGAAGCACTGATTTCAGTGGGGTTTCTGCAAGTGTCTCTGTTATGTGAAGGGTGAACACACTCTTCTGCAGACATGGTAGAAGTGGCTTGGTAGAACATATATTGAAAGAAGTGTCATTAAAAGCTGTTTTGTGTGAGCAGAGCAGGTGAGGTCAGTATTAAGTGTCCTATTTTGTGGCGAGAACAGCAGCATCAATTTCGTGGTTTTGGTAGGTTATTTTTAATTTTGCCTTTCTGGAACTGCAACCACTATGCTTTCTTTTTCCACTCTAACAAATTAGAAGCTTCTAGATGCACTGATGTAATGTTCTTGAAATCTATCACTGTGGATCTGGGAGCCACTCTGGTGTGAAGATGAGTCAGTTCAAGGCCTGTGTGTGCGCACACACTTTTTTTCAGGATTTGAATTTGATTTCCTAGTGAATGAATTGACATACAATTTAGAATTGTAGTAAGAAATTGAGCACAGCATTCACATGTGAAAAATCTACTGTATGCTGATTATTTATAGTTGGGAAGAAAAGTTGTGAATGTAACTTTTGTTCAGCACTTCCAGCAGGAACCCAGGTTAGGGCTCCAGCAGCCAAATCTGTTGGCTTCAGCTTGAAACAAGGTGCTGCTGTTTCCTTCCCAGTTTAAGGTCAAGTATACCAAAATCACTGCTGGCAGTTGCTTCTTTAGTTTGACGGTGTGTGTAAGTAATAATTATTAGATGAAGCAGAGAGTCTCTCATCTATTTTGACACTAGTTACAAATGAGAAACATACTGCATTATTATAGCCTTCGCTTCTGTAAAACCACTGGATGCTCTTTGTAGATTTGCGTTCTTAGTTCATGATACTAATTGCTAGCCCCAGACTTCTCACTAAGAGCGAGTGACCTTGGTGATCTGTTGCAGCATTAATGTAGCTGTGGGTCCTAGAGCATCCTTGCTTTGCTCCAAATCTCCGTAGGCCTGAGTATAGGACCAAGGACTCAGAATAAAGTGTGATAGAGATGTACTGTACTGCAGAAGTATAAATCCACTCGCATAGGCTGGTGCCCTTGAAGGACTCATTTGGGGCAATTGGGCTGTAACGTTAGGTCTTTGAAACTGGCTATTTAAAGAAGTTTTTTAAAGCATCATAATCAGTTGGAAATTAAATCATAAATCATAGAATATCTCAAGTTGGAAGACATCCGTAAGGACCATCGAGTCCAGCTCCCTGATGCAGCTATTAATTTAACAGCATCAAGGAAGGAATGCTAGAATCCTTCCTTTTGTTAATTATTCTTCCCAGCCAGGAGCTTGGGTATGCAGGTAGAAACCTACCACAGTCAGTATCATTATAGTACAATTCAAGCCACAGTTTCTTTAATAAAATACATTCTGTGCACTGGCCTCTAGCATATTGTGCTGTTACTTAAGCCATTAAGAAGCTAGTAAATGATGGCGCAGTTTGTATGTGGAGAATCTTAAGTGCAAAGTGCAGGGATTCATGCAGTAGGCTTATTTCTGTCTTCTGATCTTCAATATTTATTATCTTCTGCAGTGTGTACCTGGGAGCTTGGAGGATCCAAAAACCGTGACACATCATAAGTTGATACATGCTACTTCTGAGAAGGTGCTGACAGACACAAAAACAGTGTTGGAGGAAAACATTCAAGATAGAGGTGAGATTGTCTGTTTTTTAATCCTATCAGCCTGGAAACATGAGATTGTGTTTAACTATTTGGTGAGTTCCAAACAGTAGCCTTTTTAATATCTACTCTCTGCTTTGACATAGAAACTAATAAGGTGGCAAAAAAAGGAAGAGGAAAAAATACCTTTTTTTTTTTCCCCCCAGAGAAAGCACCTTGAGCAGTTTGCTTTTCTTCACTCTTCCTTTTAAGAGTTGAAAAGGAATTAGGAGCGTTCATTAAGTTGATAAGTTTAAACAGATTATTTTTATCTCCTTTTAAAGGAATTTTTTTAAACCTCCAGGGCAGCATTTATCCTTCAAAATGATTCAAAAACAGTAATCGTGGCTGAGTATTCCAAGACAGACAACCCAATGCTTTTGGGGGGTTGCTTGAGGTCTCCAGGTCAGGCAGACAGATGTTTGCTGAATTGTACTTGAATGTCTGCAGTTTAGATCTCATTCTGTCCTCTGCAAATGTCGGTCAGAATCCATCACGCTATAGTATCACCGACTACAGTAGGGTATGTGAGATATGTATTTGCTCCTGAACTTTAAAGGTGTAAAGGATTAATGTGAAACAAAAGAAGATCTAAAGATGATAGGTGGAGTCATTTTTTACTAGACAGCTTAAGCTAACGGCCCCTTCTGGAGATAAAGGGCAGTGGTGCAGAAAGTGAGAGAAGCAGGACTGCTGTAGACTGAAATATTGTCTGAAGCAGAAACTCAGCAGGAGTAGAGTTCATGCAGGCTGGAGAAATGCTGCCATGAGCACGAGCAGTTTGGTCTCTTCTAAGGCAGCGTCACCTATCACCTTTAGAGCTGAACAGGAGCTGAGAAGTGCCATCTTAGGCAAAGGCGAGGGACAGCATTTTTGCTGATTGGTGGTGTATTATTTCTAGGCGAGGCGCCGGCTCCTACAGGGTTTTGAATTGCAGTTTGCAGCAGCGAAGCGGTATTAACTGTGTAGTCATAGTAAGCTGTCAGGCGAATGCCTCTTCGCTCCTTTTCCCTCTGCAATGTGCTCTACCTTTCATGTGCCTTGCTTGTCAGGGAGACAAGATCACAGCCAACAGCTGATTGCCACCGGCTGACTGCACAGGGCAGCCAAGAGTCAGCATGTGGATCCTTTCACGTTCTGATCAGCTGGACAAATGAGGGTTAACGGCCTTCACCATCTGTTGCTCTTGGCTGTTATGTGCTGAGCCAGACCAAGGAAACTTGTTGTGCAAAGCATGCTTTGTTTGCTTTTTACCTGCTTAATACAATGGACTAAAAAATGCACGTCAGGCCATATCTGGCTGAAGGACTGCAGATGCTGCACAGGCCTGTTTTGGGCTCTAAGCAGTGCGTCTGCATCTTTCCACCCTTAGAATGTATGTGGTAGTAACTGAGGTGCTAGAAACTTGTAAAGCATCGCATGATCTCTAGAAAAAGGGTGCCTTGTAAGGGGAAAGTATTAGTCTTAAAAGCCCGAAGCAAGCTCGTGCCAGGTGATGTGGGATATCTGAAACTGAAGACTTGTTTGCCCTTGAGACTTGCCCTGGTGGGCTACCAGTGATGCATCCCTGCTGTAGACCGTGAGTCGCTCTACTGCCATTCACACACAAAGGCGAGCTTCAGCCTGATACTGGAAGTTCTTGTTGAAGCTTGGTGCTTGCCTTGCTGCAGTTGGAAGGCCCCAGCTTAGACCAAAAACCATCCGTGGCCTGTCTCTACTGCTTCATTCTCAGTGGAAGCACTGGAAGTGCTGATGCTTTCTTATTATCATGAGCCAATTGCTGTACTATTAATGTGCAAGACAACTGGAGCATGTAATACGCTTTCTTTAATGGTGTTGTGTGAGAAGAAACCAGTAACAGTCAAAGCGTAACTAATAATGGACCGTGTTTTGAATTCACTGTGCACTAAGGAATTGCCAACACTGAAGGGGAGTGTGTAAAGTCATACAGGTTTTCAAGTGTGAAAAAGGTCTGATGCTACAGTGGAATTAACACAAAATTCATCTCCAGGAAAAACTGAATTTGTGAAGTATGTTATAAGAAGTAAGCGTGAAACAGTGAAACTGTTTTCACATTACTTTCTAATGTATTTCAGTATCATTCTCTTTCTAGACGTCTTGCTTTTGATAAAGAAGCGTGCGCCACCTCCACTCCCCAAAATGGCAGATGTGTCAGCAGAGGAGAAAGTGAGTTTGAAAGACTTCTCGACTTGGCTGTTTTGATTAACTGCTTTATTAATGATATGCAGAAGGATTACTGTGGTGTACTCTTTTTACTTGTAGAGGCACATGCTGCCAGTTAAATTCTAGGGAAATTACTTCATATTTCTTCCAAACATTGAGGAAGCTGATTTTACATTTTTAACTTTGATTGTGAGAACGTTTGCCTTAGAATAAGACATGCAGATACACTCTGTGGAAGTGGTATAGGTTTGATCTTTGAACAAATGTCTAATGACTGTGTAAGTATAGTTCAGCAAGTGCCTTGCTTTGTCTCTGTTTGAAAACCTGGTAGAAATATGTTGACTTGCTGTCAGGCTGTCATCTATCTTTAGCTATTGTGTGGCTTAGAGCTGAAGTGTTAGTCCCTTACTATTCTTTTTTAATTTTATTTTATTGGAATGTAATTTTTACTGAGGGTCAGGGATGCCAGGATGATGCTTATGCACGAGTGGTACTGCAGCTGATGTTATCGCATAAACGCTTTGAACAATGCTTGCGCTTGACATTGTGAATTCTTAGGTCACTCTACTTTGTCCCTGCACAGCTTTGTTTCTTCTTGCTTCCTGTAGGTATTGGTGTATGTCTCTGTATCCCTTCTTGTAGGTATTGGTGTATGTCTTTCTCTTCAGTATGGTCTTGCTGTGCAGAATGTCACTGTAAGAGCATAAGTTATAAGACTGGGAAATATTTATAGTTTGTACCCTGCTATGTTTTGTCCTGGACTGTAAGCATGTACTGAAAATCCAAGGCACCATATATCTCTGCATGATACTTGCAAGCGGCGAAGCACTTCCAGTGTTAAGCAGTTAAGTGTTAGTCTGTGCACAGTATTGGTACATCTCTCAACAAACCATGGGTTTGAAGTGAGCGTGCTATGAATAGACCATGTGGAGCAGAATATGGTCCTGGACACCGAGGCCTCTGAGTTCTCTCCGTGTTTGATGCATCACTTTCCCTCTTTATGCTGGAATTTCCCTGCGTGTTTAGATAACAGAAATAGGTATAAGGACTGAAAGTGGGGCAACCCCACAGGTCCAGTTTTGCTCTATAATTGCAAAATGATACTGGTGCTATTAATCCATTGTATTGCTAGACTGCTGTTTCTCTTAGTTGCAAGTTACAGAGCACTGCTTGATGCCTTGGTGAAGAATATGAAACTGCTCTCCGCTATGCTGTGTTCTCTGTTCTGTGGATAATGGGTTATGAAACCTGATCGTGTTTCCTATCCTCCAGAGGAAACAAGAGCAGAAAGCTCCTGATAAGGATGCTATTCTCAAAGCAACTGCAAATCTGCCCTCTCGCAATGTAGATCGCACTGTGGCCCATCACAACATGAGGGATGTAAGTATTAGACTTGACTTTAACTCACACACTAATGTCCAAATAGGCTTTTATCTTGTATAACCTTTTCTCTTACATGTGAATGTGATTCTCTTTTCTCTATAAGAGAAATTCAGATGTATATAATGTATATTAAAGTAGATAGTTTAAGATTTAGACACAGGTCATACTATTTAGTGATAATAAAACACTCTATTCTAAATTATGATTTAAATGTTTTGTTTGTCCATGGGAAAGCCTCGGTAAAGATATTCAAGATCTGGCAAATGTGAAGTTAGGGCGTTTTATTTCTTCAGTCTTAAATAGTTCAGATGTTTGGAGTGGTTTTTTCTCTTCCATGGTTTTGGAAAGGGAAATTGGGCATAAAGGTTGACTTCAGTAATTGAATGCTGATAGCATCTGTAGTGCTTCTAACTGTCTTCAGCAATGTGGGGACAACATTTACCCTTCTGTACTAGTAGGGGTATGAAGCAGCAAATCTGTTTACATACTGCATGCTGTCAGAGTGCCCTAGTAACCTAAAGGGGAGAGATGGCATTTAAGCTGTTCAGTGGCCAACATGACCTACTGAGCGTGGCATTTTTAAAAACAAATGTCCAGCTGAAAGGAATTTGTGATGCTTCAGTTTAGAAAATAGCTTTGATCTATGTTGTTCAAATTTAGATTACTAGAAGGCAAATGGTAGACCAGGAAGGCTCATTGGGTCACAGAAAGCAAGTAGCACTGGAACGGAGCTACTGTGACTGTCTTCTCAAACACTTCTGCAAGGTGGGAGTCAAAGTGTTTCTGTGAAGCAGTGAGTTTTCTTGAATACTGCACATCTTGTGGTGGTACTGGGTGGCAAGTTGTGGTAGAAATAAAAGGAATTTCTGCTCAGTAGCTTTCACTTACATGTAGCACTCCACAGGAAAGGCCCAGTGCTTCCTGAGAGACTAAACAATGAAAATAAAGCCCTAATAAAGCAACCTTCTGCACAGGGGGCCAGACTACTGCTGAGATACTAACAATAGATATATTAAGATTTAATGATGGCTGGTAACTTCCTGTCTAAATGTTTTGACAGTTTCCTTTCTTGCAGTTCCAGACAGAGCTCCGGAAGATATTAGTGTCTCTCATAGAAGTTGCACAGAAATTGCTAGCTCTGAACCCAGATGCAGTTGAACTGTTTAAGAAGGCAAATGGTATGAACATATCTTTATAGTTACTAGTTCAATCCTGGGATCTTGTTTGCTTCCACAGCAGAAGAGTGGGCTTGCAGAGTGAAGTTCAGACCTTAATGTAATAGCAAAGCTCCTATAAACTTTGTGGCAAAGATTTCACCTTGTGGTTGTATAAAACCTATAGGTTGTATAAAACTTGTGAATTTATAAGGTCCCTCTGGGGTGGATGAGAAGTTCCATTTAAAAATATAATTACTAGTAGTGAAAAAATTGGAAAACTTCATGAGTTGCGCTTTAGGGATGGTAAAGAATAGTTGAAAATGCACAAGGAGATAGTAAAATGAGGAGAAAGTGTAGCTGTTGATTCAGTTTGTAGGAAATGCTTGCCCTTGAGATCTGCTGTAACCAGATCCAACTTACTTTCTAGTTAGATGATAAATAGATCTTCAGTGAATCTCCTATATATTTACTTATGTGGAAAATACCATGGTAATGTGAGAGTTAGCTGTCTTTCATTTGAGATCTTGAACACATCTGGACAAAGTCTTTGTCCTGGAAGAATCTATCTAAGCCTGACCAAGCTGAGTGCAGCAAATTAAATGATGAGATAGCAAATTCGGGGCAGAAACAAAAGCAGGGATGAAAGAGAAGAATGGGGTTTGAACTTAACACATGCCATTCCATTGAGAAAGGGTTTTATTTTAGCTTGAAGTCAATCTGAACATTTTTTTTTTTTGTGTATGCGTAGCCATGCTGGATGAGGATGAGGAAGACAGAGTGGATGAGATAGCTCTGCGACAGCTTACAGAAATGGGGTTTCCAGAAAGCAGAGCTGTCAAAGCCCTTCGATTAAATCAGTAAGTTTACTCAGCACACTACCTGTAAATTACTTGATATGATTAAAAAAAAATTGCGTTTTTTTTCTAAAGTCTCCTTATGTGGGTCACCTAAAACTAGGTTGGAAAAAGCATTAACTCAAAGAACAGTGCTGCCTCAGGCAGCGTGCAGGTACAGATGACATAGGGAAGGGGAAACAGTGCTGTACTTGCTCTGGAAATAATAGCTGGTCTGCAGTTCACAAGGCTGCTAGGCTGGCACTATTTCCAGGTATTAAACTCACATTTTCTTCCGCTTTAGAATTTAGATTTTACAGAGAAAAAAGCAAACCTAGCCCATCCACATTGGTCTTTCAGCTGTAGAAAAATACTTTGTGCTGATCTTTTAAAAGCATTCCAAGAGTATTGTAAAGTCCAGGGGAGCAACTGTAGGAAAGTAGGAGGTAATGTAGTTCTTCTCGTGCCCTGAGAAGAATGAGCTGTGCTGCCTCACTCCTGAGAGGGGTTTGTTAGGCCATTCTCAAAAATTTCTAATGATAGAGAATCCACAACATATTCCAGTCACTCTTTTCCAGTCTCTCTCCCTTGTGGCTCAGAAAGACTTTCTCCCCTGATATCCTCCATCTTTCATGTTGTAATTGAAAAGCCAAATACACGAAGGCTTTCCTTTCCTTTCTATGAATATGTAATAATTCCTGTGTGTCAAATGAAATTACATGTTCAGTTGCCCTATCGTTATCATTGCTTCCTCTGTATTCATTGGGAAGAGATGTGTTGGGGTGCTTTCAAGATCCCTTAAATTGAGCACTTGCACTGGGTAGCAAGTGGCCATGTTATCATCGTCATGTTCTGTTCCCTTGGGCTGGTGTCTCCTTTGAGGGGTCACAGATTTCTTCTTAAGTCAGAGTGGGGGAAGAACAGAGTGGTACGTGTCCAAGTGCAATTGCCTGTGTTGAATTTTGCTCTTGCTCAGGGCATATTGTGCACATGTAATGTTTTTCACCCTCTTTTTTTTTCTTGTGGTGTTAATGGCATTCCTTGATCACTGGATGGATGTCTGAGAGAGATCTTCTTAAGAAGCAACAAAGCAGCTTGCGTCTGAGATGTGGTTCCATGTAATTTTGGAACATGCTTTGTTTGTAGTTTTGTCAACAGTTGCTAATAGTCAGTGTTTGTCGAAATAGTGTTGTGAAATAAAGCAGATGATGTGGAGAATAAGGTGACTCCCTTAGAAATGCCTTTTAAGATCTGGGTTGCAGCTGTCCAGGTTGGACTTCATTCCTCTCTCTTCCTGGTTTCAGAGAAGATGTGAATGAATGCACAGAGAATTAAGGTGCTCTGAGATTTGCTCCAAAACTTTATGACCTTTCAGATACTAATTAACCTGCAAGTCAGTATACCATGGGAATAAATGCAAAGGCAAATGTATGTGGAACAGTACTGTACATCTCATCCCTGTGTTTTGATTTGCTTTTCAGTATGTCAGTGACACAGGCCATGGAGTGGTTGATAGAACACGCAGATGACCCTACAGTGGATGCTCCGCTTCCAGGTCAGACTCCATCAGAAGCCACAGCTGAAGCTGGTGCATCCTCCGCTGAAGAGACTGCGGGTCCTAGTTCAGAAGCAAGTGGGGAAGAGGCCAAGGATGAGCTGACAGAAATATTCAAGAAGATCCGGAGGAAAAGAGAATTTCGTCCAGACCCACGAGTACGTGCTGTTTATCTCACTATTTATGTAACTGTTAGGATTGGAAGGAACTGTGTGGGCACCATGGAATCCAAATAAATGTTTAGTTAATAAATGAAATTAAATGGGTAGATGTATATTATGCTGGCTTGACAGTATTTTAGTGGAAGTCTTTAGGGACTGTTTAAATTCAGGTTGCTGAAAGGGATATTACCTAATTACTGCATCCCTGTCTCAGATAACAGTATCTAAATTACTGACATTGTTACTTCTGTACCTGAAAATTAATTGATGGGACTGAAATGAGCTGCCAGACTCCTGGCATTGCTTTTTAAGACTGCTGTCTGGGAAGGAAGGGTTGCAGGACAGGAGTAGGTCCTTTTGCTGTAGAAAAGGACAGAAGGGCATTATTGTATTTAGGGAGCGAAGAAAAGTATCACCAGCAGATTTAAGTCTTGCAGCAAATGCAGAAGTTAGCCTTTTTTCAGAACACAGTATTAGCTGAAGTGAAAACATGTGTTGTTATCACACTGTAAACTCACCAGGAGGTGCTCTTCGGAATCCAGCACTTTGCTTTTACAAGTAGCTGTTTCTTGTGATTTCGGTCAAAAGCTGCAAAGGTATTTGATGAGCTGGGTACAATTTCTAAATGATGACACATTCTCATAGCAATATCTAGGTACGCTTGTCTAAATACATAATGCTCACTAGCAATATAATAATCCAGGAAGTAAAGTTAAATTGAGTGAATAGAACTACAAGTGAACGTGGAACTTGATCTGTCAGTGAGATGTGAACAAAGGCTTTGTGACATGAGAGAAGTTCTAAAGTAAGGTGTTTCTGTCCCGCTCTTCTTTCTACGTCCGGTACACTTGCTCTTTGCCTTGCATTCAGCTTTCAGTGTTGAGGATAGGAACTACCTTCGCTCTTAAGGTTTATTCTTCTTCCATAATAAAGACACTTTTGATATAGAGTATTTGAAAAGTTTGTAGATAAGATTACTTAGTGCTCTACAAATGGAAACAATGGGGTTTTTTACCCCACAAAATGCTCCTGCGTAGAAGGTGAAAGAATTGATTGTTCTCATTTCTGTTTTAAATGTTACACTTACTAAGCTGTGCAAATCTCATATAGGCTGTCATTGCCCTGATGGAGATGGGATTTGATGAAAAGGAAGTGGTAGATGCACTCAGAGTAAACAACAACCAGCAAAATGCAGCCGTGAGTACAATGTCATTTCTGTTCCTTACTGCTATAATAGTCTGCTCAACTGATTCTTTCCATCATTGAATTGGTGGATGTTTTCATGTATCATAAAGCCCAACTGTTACTGGAGATGAAATGAGCGCTATATATTCTGTGCCTCTTTCAAATTAGATCCACAACTAGAATACAAAGGTTTTGGACTTCTTACAGGAACTCGGCGTGCATGCGGTTGAGGCTGATCTGATTGGGATAGCATATGTGGATTTTTCAAAAGCTTTTGAGAAACTCCCTCACCAGACTCTGCAAAAGAGATTATGCTATCATGAGAAAGGAAAAGGTATTTCCAATAATTAATAACTGAGTAAAGGACAGGAATAAATATCAAGCAAGAGATTCAAGCCATGCAGTGTGTAAATTGCTGCATTCTGCAGCAATGCCTTCCACAGTTTATGGAATCAAAAAATATTAACGTTTTCAAAGATTGATTAGTCCCCTGCTAGTGGATGATATGTTAAGGAAAACTAAGTGGACACAGCTGACAGCCAAGGAATCTTCTCTTCTTAAGCATCTAGTGCTGGCTACTGTTGGAGGATATTGGGCTGGATGGTACTTCAGGCTGACGCATTGTAACCATGTTGATGGGGTTCCCTTGAGGCAGTACACATGTAGGGTAACACACATCTTCCCTGAGCTTTGAAACATCCAAAGTTGGTATAATTTTATTGCCATACCAGGCACTGCTGCTGTTCCCGTTGAAGTAAAGGTGTGGGAGCAACACACAAATGAATAGTAATCTGGTGTGAAATGTATAGCTCGGTCTTTACTATGAGAGGAAAAAAAATTTTTACCATGCCACATTGTCAAAACTTTTGAGACACTTTCTAATGGAACTAATCATGGAATCTGTTGTGCCTGGTGATTTCTTTCAGTGTGAATGGCTGCTGGGAGACAGAAAGCCTTCTCCAGAGGACTTAGATAAGGGAATTGACACCAATAGCCCTCTCTTCCAAGCCATCTTAGAAAACCCAGTGGTACAGTTAGGGCTAACCAACCCTAAAACGCTACTAGGTAAGTCCTGCTCGGATACATATACACTGTCTCTGTAGTTGCTAGCAAATAAGAGTAGAGACTGGATGATGACAGCACGCTTTGTGGGATAGGTGCAGCTCTGTACCCTTTTCCTCACTTTCAGCAGCTGTACAGTTTGTTTGCTTCATACTGCAACTCAGCTAAACCCAGAACAGAACTTGGGGCTGTCCCAGAAATGATACTAATTCCCCAGGCTACTGGATTACACTTGCTGAACTCAGAACTTTAATAGCTGCTGGCTGCAATGCTTTTGTGGATTTAGGAGACCTTTTGTGTGCTGCCTTTTGCCACGAGAGGAAAAATCAGGAATGTCTGTCTAGAACTCTGATTATTTCACAGAAAAAACAAAGCTGTCTTCTGCTGTACAGCTTAGTGTGTGCTGAGGCCTTATCATTGAGACAGAAGGTAACTTGTGGAAGAGTAATCGAACAAGAACTCTGAGCTAAGGCCTTGCCTATCAAAGTTGAGATAACTTTGTGAAAATATTGCTTGGGTTTCAGCTCTGTGGTAAAGTCTGTGTGTTCGTGGTCAGAAAGGCTGTGAGCACAGCAAGTACCCAACTGATGAGCCTGACAGTGAAACATAAATCTCTGATGCATTGGTCTCTGATGCTGGAGGACAATACAGAAGAATGACATTGGCTCTGTGACATATATAAAAAGTTTTGCATTTAGTCTTTGGCTTCAAAATTTATTTGAAGCCATGCTTTTAAATAAAGGCAGCTCTTTCAAGAGAGCTTTTAAAAATACTACTTTAAATGTAATTAGGGGAGTTTGCAAGCCTTTACATGATTCAAGAGCAGAACCTTTCCACCCTGATTTCTGAACAAATGGTCTCTTCATTTCCAATGAGGGTTCCACACTGCAGCTCAGAATATAAATAGAAAATGAAATGCCGTTATATGTGCTTGTCAAGCTTGGATGAACATCAGAGAATATATTCCTAACGATACATCTGCAAGTTGCTTATGTCACAGATTTTAATAATGAATGTTTGCATTTAATTAGAATGTTGATAAATCTTTAGTTTTAAGCTCTTGAGTCTGAGTAAAAGAGTATAGTTGAAGTGGTGAAAGGTGAGATCTGTACTTTTATTCTGGGCTTTTCTGTAGGCATGCTGCATGACCTTGAGCAAGGTATTGATGATGAGCCTTTCAGAGGTGCTGGGTACTTACAGCTCCCACTAATGTCAGTTGGAGCTTTGTACACTAACACTCCTGGGAGAATTAAGACACTGACCTTAGTGCCTGTCTGCCAGACTCTTACAACACTGACATTTTGGTGACTTCTGAATAGGTCAGATGTGCAACTGCTTTTTTTGTCCAGTTCCGTAATGGCTGCTCCAAATGTCCAGTAGTCCAGCTCAGTGTCTGTCATAAGGCTTATAAATTATTGCCTGAACCATTCTTCTGCCGAATTTGCAGCTTAGCCCTTGCAGTAGCTGTCTGGTTCCTTCAACATAAGTAGAAGAGTGAAAATTAGCACATTTAAAAAACCAAGCCAAACAACAAAGCTTATTGTAAAGACAGCTGTGTATAGAAAGAAAAAACTGCTCTTAAATATTTGGATTGCTGTCACTGTTCAGAAAGGGAGGTAATTGTTCTGCACAGCCAGCCTTTCCCCTTCTGCCTGTGTCTAGGCAGGTGGAACTGGCTACCTCCTTGACATCTTCTACTCTCCAAACACCAGGAAGGAGAAAACACATACTGCTCAGAGGGAAGATGCTGCTTCCCTCTGGCTCCAGGGGCCTCCGTGAAAAGATAGAGCTCTGAGATTTGGGGGCTCAAGAGGCTACACTTATGCTGGCTCTGCTGCTTATTCCTGGGTAGTCTTTGGCATACCTGCTGCTTATTTGGCTGGCTTAGTTTTCTCTTCAGAGATGTTACGAGAGAGTAGCCATAGGACAGCCAAAGTGCAGCATAGGAAAGCAAAGGTGACAGAGACAAGGGGGTGACAGTGCTTTCTATGAACTGTCTTGGTTAAGTACCAGGGAGGAAGAAGATACTGGTGCAAGAACTAGCCATTAAGAAATCTAGGCTGGGATGTGGAAAATCTTTGATCAGAAAGGAGAGTCTTCCCATAGGAGTACTGGCAGCAAATGACCCAGTTCTAAGATGAGCTTTTGTAAATGGATGAATTGCATAGCATGTTCCCTGCTACTGCATGTAGACATTTGCTAAGGCTTTAGCTCTTCAAACCCATGTCCTTGAGGTTTTGTAAGATGGACTATAATCCAGGCTGAGTATTTAATCAGCCTCTGTCTGCAGTGAATTTAATGCTGGGGAGTGGGGAAAGCATAACAGCCTGTAGCATCCCAGGCTGTGGAGGTTTAGGAGTGCAAGTGGTAAATGTACGATGTGTATTCCCACCATTTTTCGGTGGTGCTTGCCCACTGCCTTTGATGAGCTGTAGCTATTTCTAACTGTCCTGTTGTTGAAGCATCCCAAACATTGAAGCCTTTGCTGACTAAAGGACTAATTGAGTGTTGCAATTTCCATCTCTTGGCAGCCTTCGAGGATATGCTTGAAAACCCGTTGAACAGCACTCAGTGGATGAATGATCCAGAAACTGGGCCTGTCATGCTACAGATCTCTCGAATCTTCCAGACGCTGAATCGCACGTAGAGGGGAATGCAAGTCCACTGTGCCACTTCCTACTGTTTCCCTTGCTTCACCTTCTCCTCAACGGGAGGATGCGTGGATTGTTTGGGGAGGGGGGCGGATGGAAGGGGAAAGGGGGAGATCCTGTCTGAATGGGTTTCTCACACGAGAGCTTGTGTAGTTACGGCCAACTGAAGTTAATTGCCTTGTGGATTTAGTGTTAGTGGAAGAGGTTTGAAGAATTGTTTGTTTTCATGTATTAGGTTTAAAATAAAGTACATAAAAAAAAAAATAGGAAAAGGTTTTGTGAAAACAATTAAGAATCTGATTGTTGGAAAGAAATATGATAATGCTTGTTAAAAAGGCCTGTGACAGTAGTTTTCTAGCCAGTTTTGCTAGCATCTGGCTAGTGTTTACAAAAGGTCACTGACCACTAGCATAGGATATTAATCATCTCCATACAGTATTAATTTATGGCTATATCAAATTATAAAATGCTTTTTAAAATTGATTCTTATGAAGTGTTTTTTTAAAAGTCCAAATATTGGGAGAGCAAGCACATTTCTATCCAAACTTGTTTATCTTGCATTATAATTTAAACAGAATAATTCAGAGATGGAATCCTTTTAATAAATAGCATTACTTTTTCCTATTTATTTTCTGCGTTAGTGTTGTTGCAGTCCCACAGTGGTTATACTTGTAGGAGATTCTCTGTCAGCTACATTAAAGATGCGGTATCTCTTTCACAACAGAACTCGCTACACCAAGACTTGGATTCTCAAGTAGGCTGCAGTTCATAAGTTCATCCTCTGCCATGTCCTAATGCAAGGAGGGATATACTCACGTAGTGGGGTTTTTTCTACTTTTATGTGCACGGTTTTGCTAGGGGAGACTTTTGGTTTTTTGACTTTGTTTCAAACTGTTTACAAAAAAGCAACTAGTTTGCATGGGGTTTTCATTGGTGATCTGTAAAGAAGCAGAACCGCTTAGGTTTATATCTTGTTTAACGTATTTAAAAGAACGCTTGAAATTATTATCTTCTTTGAGATAGAAATGGTTTTTCTTGACACTTACTTTTACATTGGAAATACCAAGAATGTCAGGCTGTGTCTTTCCTATTTTGTTAGAAGACTGACTTGAGATTTCGGACAGGAGTTGTGAGCTTTTAAGAACAGAACTCTCTGGAGAATATCCAGCTAGTTTTTATGATTGGGCTCTGCAGATGTTACTTTTTTAACAGTCTGAACAAAAATGGTTTTTGTTTTCAAGTTAGTGAAACGTGATTGACACCTGTTATAATCCCTGCCACGTCTTGCGTTTCACAGCCCTTTTTTGGAAAGGCAGGCTAGGCAAGACCTGCCTCTCCAAAATGCAGAATAACCAGATGGAGACCCTGTCCTTAAATAGCACAAAGGTGTCCTTTCAAATAGAGAGATCCTGAAGAGCTCAGCAAGTCTTTTTAAGTGTGTGTGGGGTGTGTGTGTGGTTGGGTTTATTAAACAAAAATGCAACAAGATGCAACCTGAAACCCTACAACAAGTTTTGGCCTGAACTTGGCATCTAATCTATGCTGTTATGCAGTCAAGGCACTGCAGTTGCCAATTTCACATAATTAATATGAAGGGTGGAGAAATCAAAACAACATGAGATTTTATCTCGACTTACTATCCCAGGATTTTATTATTTTTAAGTTCATATTGAGCTTTACAGTTCATGACTGCTGAAATATTTACTTCTACATTTAGATCCACATTTAGAAATTCCAAGCTTTATAGAGATGATGCTTCCATTCAGATTGGACGGTTCAACTGTTTTCCTGGACTCTTGCTGAGAACAGATTGACAGCATGACATTAAATTGTAACCTTGTCCTATAACTGTAAAAGCTAGGAACCTGATCCTGAAACCCAGTGAGTTCAGCACAACTACTCATGATTAGTTGTGACTGAATGTTGTAGTGTACAAAAGGTTTTGATTATTTTCTCTGTTTTTTTTCTTACTCCCTGAAGCTTTTTGCCTGTAATACTACCAGAAGACACTATTACTTGAAGCTCTTAGTGTTTAGAGGTACATGTCCTTCTCTACCAATCAGGATTCTTGTAAATATTCCTTTTAATGAGTGCTTTTAGAAGACAAAGCTGGGAAAAACTACCCTGTAGTTTGGGGTTTTTTTGGCTTCTGAATGAGTAAGTACAGGTTCAGACCTAACAAACAGATACTTCAGTAGCAGTTTTGGTCTTTGCAGAATGTAAAGGCTTGTTAAAAAGCCTGTTTGATTTCAGTAATACATGATCGGACTCTGGAGTGGCTGTAGAGCTTCCAGACAGACCAGGCAAGAGTCATCTAAAAGTTTGGCATCTGGTTTGCTGGCAGAACTTAGGGCACTAGCCATATGGTAAGAGTGAGCAGCCCATCTTGCTGTACTGGCATGGGAGGAGCTGCCCCAGGACTGTCTGTTGCTGCTGCCAGGGCAATGCGGATGAGGAACTTGAACCAGCTCCCCAGCTTTTAGGGGATTGGAGCTGGGCGCATTCCTGATACGCGGTGTCTGACCTGCTTCAGAGGAGCGGAGTCGTGCACTTCTAAGGGTAAAGGTTCTGCTGCTTGTGTATCTCTGTATCAGCCCCACAGCAATGGGATCAGAGCGTGATACTGCCAGGACCTGCTACTGAACTGTGCATGTTCTTCAGTGTCAGTTTGATCAGGGTGATAAAAGTTACCAGAGCTGCCTCCCTTGGTATGCCAGAACAGAATCAGTGCTGCTGAAAGAGGAAAAAAGCATCGATAAAACAAATCATGCTTATGTAATAGAAGAAGGTAAGAATGCACAGGTTCAACAACACAACCTAATGTTGCAGCAGCAGTTAGAGACCTTAGGGATGAAGGAATACTGCATCTTTAAAATGCTTGAAGGCTTGAGAATATGTGGTTATTTCTGAATTTCGTTATTCCAGAGCTCAACACCTACACAGCTGAAGTGTTGGAGACTGTTCTTTCTGATCTGCCAAACAGTCTTCTTGCTTGGTATGGCTTTAACATAGTCCTGCTTGTCTTTCGAGAACATAAGTTTCCAGTGGCCAATAGCTGAAAGAGGCCAGAACTTAGGAGGTGTGATGCAGCAAGGCATAGGAGTTGATTTAAAACAAACAAAAACTACCCTTGAGGTTAAACAAATGCTTGAGGAATTGATCAAGACATCAGTGGTGGTGTTAGGGTATGAACTGGTAGCAGACTAGGGAGCTGTGTGTCCCCATCACGCCTGGGTATGTTCCTACTTCTCACAGTAACTGGAGGGGGGAGGTAAGTCCAGTGTGCCTGCAAAGGCATTGATTATCCCAGTTTTTACAAAACCTGCAAAAAACTGAAAGATCACTGCTATTGAGTCAGAATGTGCAGGTGGGTCTCCAGGCACAAGGAGTGTGTGTGGCAAGAGCTTTGCCTGGTGATAAACTGTCCTGTTCTGTGGCTGAAGGGTAGAGGACTGGTGGATCTGGTCTGTAGTCCAGTGAGAGGTCTGTAAGCACATGGGAGTATAAGTTTTCTTTTTAAAAAAAAAAACAAACAGTTTTTGTGAGGAAGAACTACTCACAGGAGTAAGGATTTACAGGTCCAAGTCCTGTGCTTGCATCTCTGGTGTTCAAGTTATAACTAGCAAAAACATGTCCTATTTAAGTGTCTCATGACATGGTCAAGGGATTATTTGGAAGCCTGTGAAATCAAGAAGTAAGGAAACGGGGTGGTAGGTGGCTCATACAATGCAGTGACTATATCTTACAGTTCTAGCTCTTTGCCCCATCAGTTGATACAGACAATCTTCTACCTTTTGATATTACATGACTCTTGAAAGCTAGCTAGCTATTTATTTAAATATATATAACTTATAATTTTGTCATCAAAACACTGATATTTTTAATAGAATGTACTATATGGAAGTTTGTTCTCAGGGCTTCATATTTATACTCTCTTTATAAGGGATGCATTTGGAAAGGGATGTATTTGGAAAAAATACCAGTGGGCACTTTACAGCTTGGCCCTTGATTGTCTTGACCTGTGAGACTGAGCTAGTGCAACTCTCCTAATAAACCTCTCGTGTCTGGTCCAGTCCAAAGGATCTGCCAGGCTTTCTCTCCTTGTGAGCAGTGACGTGAGTCCTCCTTTAAGATTGCTGCATCACTCTGTAGAAATGGTCACACAAGATTACCCCGCCGCTTCACGGTTCGCTGATCTTTACACCATTTCAAGGATGCTTCTGTTCTCCATGCAGCTGGAAAATTAACTTGCACGGTTTCTAAAGCAAGTCATCAGTGCACTCCTGCTCTGCTGGGATGGTGCAAGGTTCGTTCCTGCAAGAGCTCTGAAACCTCCAGCTAATTGCTTCTTTCTGGCTGCTCCCAGCCTCTGTCACAGACGTGTCCCAGAACCTTGACCCCTGTTTCTTTCCTCACTCTCCTGGAACCAAACTTGTCTTCTGGAGATTGATCTTCATATCCAAGAAACACTGAAGTGGTTATTGAAATCCTTTTGGATTGGGGCTGTTACGTTTTGTTTTTTTTTTTTTTTAGGCATTGTGATTCATGGGCTGAGGACCTTTTAATATATTTTGAAAGGGGTTTAAATAAGCATTGCACCAAACGAATGTATAGTAACACTGCCAGCAAATATGGCCTGTAGAAGAGAGAGAGGTTACCAGTGAGCTCTACTTCAGTGGCAGTTTTACAAAAGTAGTGTGCACAGGATAGTGAGTGTTTCATCAAAGTAAATACCCCATTTTTCTACTTTTAATAAATAGCATTTTTATTAACTAGCAGAATAGCGGCGCTTGCAGCTGGGTGTTTCCGTCTGGTCATAAGTCCTTCTGCTTTGAGGCGTAAGCAAACCACTGACTGTATGCTCCTCTCTGGGCCGATTATTCTTCCGCAGGATGTGTGTTGGCTGTTGTTGGAGGTAGGACAGTCCGTGAGCGCGGCCGGGGCGGCGATCCCCACGTTCCTGCAGAGGAAGCGGCAAGCAGTGTATGTTATGTCTGTGTGGATGTGCTGTCACGGTGGTTGTTCTCACCTGCATCCTGACAGCGGGGTATAACAAAAGGGGTTTTTTAAGGACCTCTTGCCCTAGATTTGAAGATCTTCAATGCAGATCCTGTTTGCAGCATGTGAACTTCAATAAATGTAAATGCATTAAATTCTTACTGAATTTGGGTATAGTTTTATATCATGCTCTGGGGAGAGGGAAGAAATTGGATCACGTTTTAAACTAAGCCCCACAAAACAAAGTGTCTTTGTTGCAGCAGGTAACAGAGGCCTGTAGAGATTTTCAATTTGCATATTTTTATCCTAGTTTAATGAACTGTACAAGAATGTGATTTGCTATCCAGCACTTACCACAAGGCAGCACCAGTAAAATTATATTGCAAGGTACTGACTTAACATTTTTCATTTCACCTGTGTATAAAATAATTAGGTACAGCACATGATAATTTTTATGTGGCACTGACACTGACGTGTGGCATGCACAGCTGTTTCTAAGATGTAACATTACTTTTATGAAGCTTAACTAGGGCGGACGTCACTGAGCCTGTGGAATTCAGGGTTCATTCTGGACGTGCTCGCGTGGGTCGCTGACCTCTCCCTGGGTGGGAAAACCAGCAGGCT